ATGTCGAAAGATATGGAGATAACGAACAGTATTCAATATCAAAGTCCATAAAACAAAACAAAATAGGAGCAGAGCAAACACGGACACATAAGTAAGGGAACATTCGTCAATACCCCATTTCTCCAACTAACCGACAAACAAGTAATAAAAACCTTCTGTTCAAGGACAGACCTTTGAGGAAAGTGGAAAATTTGCTGACTGACAATTTAAATAGGTATTTCAAGCCCATTATTTTACACATGGAAATACCTACAGATTTTTCTATCTGTCCTATTATAACAAGCAGGTCACGGTATTTGTGACCGGACGGTGCATATGATGCTTACATCTCCATGGCATCTGATGCCACATTTGATGTCTGTAGATCAGCTCCTGATTTCTAAAGTTTCAAGGGATTTGTGACCTTTAACTACTCTTCGTTTACTCCATTTATTGTGCAATATGTATTTTGAATGTGTTCTTCTGAAGCACAATTTAGCTTCAATTTTGGCAGATACTAGTACACTAAATTGTTTGATACTTTTTCACTTGACTTGTTTTACGATTTACCAATGTACTATATTATCTAATTGTGACATGTTACAATATGTATTAGAATAGATTGATTGATTTTATATTGTTTAACGTCCATCTTGAGAATTTTTCACTCATAAGAAGACGCCACCACTTCCCGGTGGAGGTCTGCAATTTTTTTCCTATACTCGCACTTAGGACAGATCAGTGAATGTAACATGAATTTTAAAAGTTTAAAGTCAGCATTTTGTAATTCTTTGGTCTTTATAAAGACCTTGGTTAACTTAAATGTCTTGATACCTTAATTTTAAGAGATTTTATAGATATTTTTTACTCCATTTTGAAATTTAGAAAATTCTTAATGTAGTAAGAAAGTTCGCTGTTCTCCTTAATTTCATTGATTATTATATGATAATCTAACATAAGTATTGAAAAAGATCTTGATGCCGAAATACAACGAATAATTTTTACTGCACTATTATATTGGAACTGCAACAGGTCTTGAGGATAAATACATTTCCTTCATCATGTTCACTCACAAGTGAGGCATACATGTATAATCTAGACATTTATCGTAAATGGTACTGCTACATCGGAAAATCATTGTAAAGTGCGTGAAATTTACTTTATATATATATATATATATATATATATATATATATATATATATATATATATATATATATATATATATATATATATATATATATATATACGACAAGACATATATTTTATGTAAGATTATAATTATGCTTCAGATGAATAATATAAATCTTTATGTCAAATGTAGCTGGTGAAAATGACATGTATCCGTGAAGAAGACAGGTTAAAAATATTCACACCTTTTTGGAAAATGGAACTTCAGTTTCCGTAATAAGTACATGTAGACCTTTATGTCATTCATGTACTAATAAACGTTTTGTAAAACAGTTGAATTAGTTTGATTTTCTATTTCAATTTTATTAGCTCTGGTAAGCTTTTAATCAATAGAAATTTAAGAGTGAAGGACAGTAACTTAACTCAGTTTCTCTGACATTTTTGTCTATTATTCATACATTCCAAAATATTGCTCTAATTTAATTAGTGTCTTTATATGCCTTTTCACCACATTCATAAATAATATTTCAGATATAAAAGGGACTAAAATCTTTTTAATAAGAAAATGACAGTGTTTGATTTTACAATTTTGTAGAGCTGTCTAGATGTCCTTGCGAGGTATTATCTTAACGAAACATGCAACGTCAAAAGTTTATAAAGTACGTGTATCACATAGTTGCATGACGACAATGCTTTATTAATGGCTAGGAATGTCACTTGCTACTTATATAAGACATTAAGTTTAATAAAATTTCTTTTATCAAATAGTTTTATCGTCGGTCTTCGCTAATCTGTAAGAATATCAACGAATTCTTAAAAAAAAAAAAAAAAAAAGATTAGAAAAGGTTATTCGTCAATAATTGCAAGAATATATCGATATTCTGGATAATACCAGAGTTGACGTGTAAAAGAGAGCCTTTGAAAGCATAAAATATTCTCGTAGCAGTTTTTCTTTTCTGAAAGATTAGATGCACAATACATTAAGATGTGTCAAAAGAAATTCTCTATATCTGACATATAAAATCAAAACACTCATGACAAAAAAGTAGAGGAGTTTTAAACTTCGACAACTTATAAAATACTTATTAATATTAGTGTGACCGGTCGGCAAGGGAAACTTACTCCTCTATGGCACCTGATCCCACCTTTGGTTTTTAGAGGTCCTTGTTTGCTCCGCTCTTATTGTTTAATGTTTAATGAACTTTAAAACTCTTAATCTCTACATATTTCATTGTCTTGTCTAATGAACGCATCACATGTTTTCGATAGCAAATTTGAATTATAAATAAACAGATTTTTTTTAATTTCTTAAAAATCATTTTAGGTTTATTTTTATAGTAATACGTTCAAGTCTCCAATGAATTCATACAAAATTAATCTGGATTTCAAGCTATTTACAGTAAGAAATTCTTTTTTTTTAATGTTACTAAATACAGATAAGAAGTGAAACAAGCACAGGCAGACAGGACCAATTCAAAATAATGTTAAACTTAAAAAAAATAAAAACAGATAAGAAAAAACAAACATATTGAATCAAAACAATTAGCTCAAAAGCACAATTAATCGTTTTTAATGCAAAAGAATAAAAATGGTTGAACATAAAATTACAATAATATAATGTAAGATAGAGAAAGAGAGATAACTACTAGTATCTTAGTCTGAATAAAAATTAAAATGTTGACTGCATACTCACTTATACATGTAGTATAATCTCATACTCCTACAAAATAGTATTTTCACCTTATCAACACATTGAGTTAGTTTCGAAAGTTGACTTATGTCATTCACAAATCACAAATATATATTTTGTTTCATGTCATTATAGAAATTCTCCTTCATTGATTTCAAATGTTACGGTTAAATAAACACACAAGGAAATACAATTTTTGAAAGAAATCAAATGCAATTTTTGTAAACAATCCCTTCTCTTTGATATATCTGATATATTTAAGATTCAATTCTCGTCCAATTTTTTGTTGTTTAAATTGCCAAAAGCATTTCAAAACAATCGGGAAAAAAATTAAAAGCCCTTTTGTCATTATTTTTGTTATCGAATAAAACTTCATTACTTCATCAGAAACGATTTTTATCATTTAACAGTTGTTAATATATGCAAAAAGATGCATTTTGAGTGATATTCTGCAGAAAGCCAGAGTGACTCTGTCTATTATAAGATCTCGAAGTCGTGTTCTAACAAAGCGGCCAACAACTGTAAATTGGGATTTGAAAAGTAAAGCATTCCGAAATTTATAGTCAGGGTTAATTAATGAATAAATTATTCATTCTTTGTTTAAAAGTGCTAAATACCTCAACTAAAATTGGTAAAATGGCCATGACACAGTATTTTGACGGATAAGTCCTTCTTTTTCTTTGTGAAGTACTTGTCAAGGTGCACTTTAAAATATTTGATAGATGTGGCACTGATGATACAAGTACAGTATCTGAGTTTCAGTTGGAAAGTTAGAATTATTTTATTATCAGATTAATTGAATATGAGTAAAAGCCGGACAGCCTGTTTAAAATAACTGATATAGCTCTGTAGGGATTTAAAAATCATATAATTATGCTTACGCCTGTTTATTAAAGTCGAAATAGTGATTTGTACAACATTTGTTGATGTCATACATGTATTTCTTATACATACTGGCCTCGCAAGCAAATTATATATACACCTGTGGTTAAAAAACGGACCTTTAGGTAACATTGAATGGAAAACTGTTTTGTTTTGAACATATTTTATTGACAACATGTCGATCAAAGGGATTGGACACAAGTTCCAAACTGTATGGGGGCTGATATCTCAGAGTCAATGATAACTCATTGCTCTCTATCGGATAGGTATCCCCGGATCCATGTTACAGCTTGTCCTCAAATGCCACAATTATCTTCGGATCTATCACATTAAATAGCTGATAGGTCTAGCATAATGGAAAACAAATTATTATATTTGTCCATCTAACCTTCGAAAAAGTTCATGCATATTCATGATTTAGAGTATCATACCGGTATAGTTCTGTGTGAAGTTGAAGAGTTTGGTTCTCTTTGGTTTTCTTTGTGCTGGACGTCAATAGGATATCCGCTTATTATTCAAAGGTATGTTTCATAAAATCATTATTTAATTGACTCAGTTTTAAACTATACCTTGAGAATGAAGTTAATAACAGATGATACAAACAAAAAATTAATTGGGTGTCTGTATTGTTTAAATATTTGTGGACCTATTTTGATTGCAAATGATTAAATACATGTAATATGAGTAAATAATTAATTTCTAAAAGATTAAGACATTGTAAAGTTTTTATGATGATCAAATCCAATCTTTTTATTACCCCTCTAATTAATGAGGTATTCTTTGCAACTTTTCGTCACCCTAAATCCGATTTTTGTTTTCTGAAACTGATTAAAAAATGAAAAACTATGACATTAAACTTTATCATTTTACTACTTTTAACATGACTATAGTTGTTATTCTCAAAATATTTTACAAAAACCTTCCATTGCATCATCTGTCCTAAAGCAACAATTTTCATATTTTGCAAGTCAATATATTCAGGATTTTTTTTCTTTTATAGTCTTAAAAACAGTCTTTCAGAACGTTGCTTTTAAAATATTAAAAGCAGTGAAGGAGAAACATCTGAACTACTGTACAGCAATACATTTTACAAGTAGTGTAAATCAGTTTTGATGATGCAACATGTTACACTTGTATTATATATTGTACTTAGTAAGGAAGCATAGAAATGCCACGCAATATTTTTAAAGTTGGTCATTCCAACTTCAAAATCGAAATTACCAAATTAAAAAAAATCTTTCGTGACACTAATGAGCTTCCGTAATTTAGGTAAAGTACATATTTAAAAAAAACAAGAAAAAATAATAGAATGGTCAATATAGATTTTAATGATTTGTACTTAATTCCTAGCAGTCCCAGTCACAATCATCCTTATTGCTGCTATATTTACATTCCGCCAGGTTACCCGGAGAGCCAGAATCTGACGAACAAAGGACCCTATTTCCTATAGCGCACACCATCTTGGGTTTCTGTCCGCCTACGTTTACCAGTATATTTTCAATCTACAATATGTTAACATTTTGATTCTGAAGATAACTATTTAAAAAAACAGACTTTATATCAGAAAGTCTAACACTGAAATCATGTGCAATTCACTTTAGTTAAAATGATTTGCCAGTCAACCGTCACAAGCCACGGTCCGGTTTGCATATAACGCTCTCTCTCTCTCTCTCTCTCTCTCTCTCTCTCTCTCTCTCTCTCTGGGAGAGGAGGGTACATTTTGACCGTTTTGACCGTGTTTTTTTTTTTATTTACACAAATTTTATTCACATAAAGTGAATGGGATCGGGCAGCAGGCAAAGCCTATTTTAGTCCTCTCCCTAAGATTGGGGTTTACGACAATGATGACAATGTATTGGAGAGGACTATCTAAGTTTTTGGAACTTGTGTCCAATCCCTTTGACATATTGTCAATAAAATATGTTCAAAACAATGATGACAGTCTTACCTTGCATTTACAATCCTCGTCAGATAATCTCGGGAAATCTGCATTTTTGCCATCGACAGGGGAAAAGAACATCATATCACACAGGTTAATCCACATATGTCCTTCGTAAAAATAACCTATGGAAAAACACAAATCTTATGAGCAAGGTACGAATAAGCAAAGACTGTGATTCTTCCTTTTATAGTTTTTTTTACTTTTTTAAACAAATTACAAAAATGGTAAACTAATTGTTCAGAGAACAATAAGTGCTTTTTCCATCGTCTTTGAATTTCAATTTCGTTTTATATTAAACTATTTAAGAATTACAATTTTTGGAAAAGACCGGAAATGGTTAGAATGATGAAAAAACGAAAAAAAAATTTTTTAAAAAATCAAAATATGACCTTGACATTTGACCTGGAACAAACTGCAAATAGGCTTAAGTACAATTTCGTGATGTATAAATCTTTCCGATAAATCTTGAAACTCAAAAACAAACTTTGCGGAAAAATATTCAAAAGGTATTGCCACAAAAAGGTGGAAGTACCTACTAAAAGGGAAAAAAATGAAATTCGAAAATTTAACCCTCACTTCTTATTACTAATGTGTCTGCAACTAGATTTACCAAGGCCTGTGTGGAAAAATAAAAGTATATCAATATTCATTTTGACTTCATAACTCTCTCTGTCTCTCTCTCTCTCTCTCTCTTACCGTTTATAAGATATTCTTTATCTAATGTTAGTCCTACGCCACACAAAGAACCAGATCCTGCCGTCCGAATTTGCACTGTTTCTCCCTTTTCTTTATTTAAATTCTAATGATAAAAATTTAAAAACGAAGAGAATCCATTTTATTTACTTTTCACATTATGTACTATGTAATCATAGTTTTTAAATTTCCGTGACATTCATGAGTACCCTACATGTACAATCACTGCTTAATACCATCCATGAAGTAATAAACTTAGGTATCTTAGTCATATCTCAATGAAATTACGTCCACATGAACCTGAACAATTCAAGTAATTAACAAATATTGGCCTTCGCGTATTTCGAACTTGTATGATTCTACAGTTTTAGTACTGGAACGGGTTAAGAACGTCCAAGACGTCTTAAATTATATATACAATATATAATGTACTAATGCAGTACTTACGCCTTTATAATCTTTCGATATTTCCACTTCATAGATTCTGTCTGCATCTACCCCTATCAGTCCACCTTCATAATTTATTTCTGTAACTTTACCCCGAACAGCTGAAAGAAGTACAATGTATCATCTCAAAATAAAACTAAATAGGAAGAACAAATGATCACAATCCCAACTTCAAAGTTAGTAACCATTATACTTGTCGATTCATTACATGCCTGTGCGAATAGATAAATGCGTAAGTATTATGTACTCTTTTTTGTAAATAAAGTGCAAAATTCAGAGATAATATTCAGAGAGAGGGGGGAGAGAGAGAAATGTACATACCGTATGCAGAATTGCAGTATTTAGTATGAGGTTCTGTAAATGCACATGCAACTACATCCGTTAACTCCAGACAACTGAACCAAGAGAGCAATCAACACCAGAGCTAAGACCTAAAACGGGTAAAAAAAATACTAGAACTGTGCTTGTTCTTTAACTAAAATATTATGCTTTTTTTTAAAATCATGTATACACATTTGAAAGTGTACATGAAAAATGTTACCGCCATTGTCTTCATTTTATATTTGGATGATACACAGGTTTCGTTCATCTGCTGTATCACTGTTATCCCTGCATCGCTTATCCAATTTTATAGGACAAGAAAACTGCCGTAGGGATCATTCAGGCTAGAATTATAATGAATTTAACCAATCACTCCAATAATTTATATATGACATAGAATAAAGTGTATGATTGCAGTAGTTATCTTGTAATTCAACATATGTTACATCCATGAACAAAACAAATATTTTTTTTCAGGTAATTGGTTTTTTTTATTCCATCCAGTTTTTTTTTCCCTTTTTTACATAAGAAAAATGGCTAATCATGAATAATAAATAATTGTAAATAAAAGCAAATAAATCTGAATAGGCATGTATTTTCTAAATGGGTGCGTATCATTACCGCTACATTTTCGAATTTTTCATTACCGCTACATAGTCATTACCGCTTTACGTTACCGCTACATAATAAAGTGTACATTACCGCTACAATGACTCTTTCGTTAGCCAGCCACTTATGCGTGTACAGTATAACCTATACATGCATAAGACCTGTTTCCCCTGTTCACCATGGGGAGATGAAAGTAGGACTTTGAGCATGATGTCCAACTTCTGATTCCTGAGACTTGTATTCTGATGTTAATACAAGACTTTGGATTTTTCTATACCAGGCTTGAGCCAAATTGAATTGGCACCCTTTCATGGTAATGTTAGGCTAGAAATGCCTAACCACTCCGTGTGCAGTATATTCAAAATCAAGATTTATTTGTTCAATGTTAAGAATCAAATTTTTCTGCATACAAGCATCCAAGAGGCACTAAAACATGGAAATATACCATTCTTTGCTATCATTGCGGTCATTCTATGGGGGTCATACATTCCCTCGATTTGTAACAAGCTTATCAATGGTGGCCATAATGTTTAGATAACGCTAAAAAAATTACATTTCGATTGCAGAGTTACTTATGTAAATTGTAATATACTCATTCCGATTAGAATTCAAATTAAAATTGTACTTCACTACAAAGTGTGTGAATTCTGTTGATAAGAACTCATATACAGACCCATACCTGGCTAAATCGATATGTAGCGGTAATGAGTTGTTTTTGGCTGATTCAATATGCAGCGGTAATGAGTTGTTTTCGGCCGGAAAACTGTAGCGGTAATGATCAGTCGGAAATGTGAAAAAATGTAGCGGTAATGAGTTGAATTTTTTGGCAATGTAGCGGAATTAAGGACAATCTTTCAGCTTCGTATTTTCCCTGCATTACTTTTTATCCTGTTTCTATATTTGTTGACTTTTAAGGGGGAAATTGTATTATGAATACGTTGGATCAATATTTTTATTTTATTCTTTATTCCATGTATGCTTCTTTTCCTAAAATTGCTATTGATCATCCATATTGTATCTTCATTATCAAATAGCTTAGCTTTTGCCATATATTCAAATCAGTCTTAATTTCATTTTATTTTCTTTAGTTAAATTCGTGATTTTTATTTGGTATAAAAATAAAATTTGCAGTTTTTTTTCACTAAGACCAGATGTTGCATTGACAGACCAGATTCTACTGTAATAATCATCAATCGTTATAGATGCCTAGCGGTAATTTTAACAATTTAGTAAAAAGAAGCAAGTCCATAAATTATCATTTAATAGTAATATTTATTTAAATAATTGTATTTAGGAAATAGTTATGTAACGTCAGTATTTGAGTGAAAAATTCTCATAAGGAAATGTTTTGAAAAAAAATCATCAGTTTATCTGGGGATATTTATTATCTGAAATGTGAGGATTGATCCAAAAGTTCGTGGAATTTCTACATACACGTGTATCTTTATTTATTTATAAGTGAAAATGATTGAAAATTTCAAATGAAAAATTAAACACTTGTTGATTGATTGTATACCGAGAATTTTTCACGCATATTAGAAAAAGTAATTTGAACTCCTTTTTTATTAAAGTATAAAATAAAATGAATAATTTACCGCAGAAATTTTGAGAAATCTAAAATTTTCTTTTTCTCATCAAAAGCAGATAACTCTTCAAAAACTTTTAATATGCAAAATGACCATCTCCTTACATTTTATCAGTCTTGTTCATTTAACTTTTTCCGTTATCTAGCAATGTGTTTTAACTAGTTTCAATTTATTTAAAATCATTCAAAATCCCTTCATTATAAATTGAATACTTTAAATGTATAAATACTTTAAAAATTAGCGTAAGTTGTTTAACTAAGAAGTTTTTGTAACTAAGCTATCATCATCTGTAAAGTAGGATTTGACTTCAGCTGAAAGGTATTAGATTCAAAAATTCAGTCAGGATTTATCAACAGTGGTTAGAGCGTCTGCTCTGGAATCGCGGAGTAAGGGCTTGATCCTTACGTTGCTGTTTTGAATCACACTATGAGACGTGCACATGGAAAGTGGTCCTTCGAATGAGACCATATAAAAGTGACAAAAAAATTCCTCACTGCTCAATCACCCTGAGTGCCGAGTATAGGACAAAATTTGCAGGTCTCCACTGGCGAGTGGTTGCGTCTCCATTTGGTTTAAAAAAATATCGAGAGGGACGTCAAACAATATACAATCAGTCAATTAATTATTTAAGTGCTAAATATTTCAAGAATTCGTAAGATGGTAATAAAAAAATTTATGACAGATACCACTTGTTTTCCATAAAGAAGTAGTTGTCCAGGTGTTAGACCTGTCAGATTTCGCACTGATGATAATAAAATTTCTGTATCTGACTTAAAGAATTTTTATCATAATATATAAGTGAATAGTAGTAAGCCAGTTTCAGGAATTGTCTATATTTTAGGTGCAGATGCCCAGTTTTTTTTTTTAAAGATAGACTTGTAGAAGGATATGGAGATAACGAACAGTATTCAAAATCAAAATTCATAAAACAATACAAAATAGGAGCAGAGCAAACACGGACCTCCAGAACATCAGAGGTGGGACCAGGTGCCATAGAGGAGTGAGCATCCCCTGCTGACCGGTCACATCCGCCGTGTGCTCCTTGTCATGATCGGGAAATAGCGGAAAAATCCGTCGTCAATTCAGTGTATAAATAATGGACTAACAATTAGTATGAAAATCGTCAGTCAGCATTTGACTTAATGAAAAATTGTATTTGCTGACAAGGTCAATGTATCGACCATAGAACTTACGAAATGATGACTTTAAACTTTATTCTTGTTTCATCAACTTGCTTGTCAATAATTTACCTCATTTTAAAAATTGTTCATACGTAGAGCATGCTGTTGCGTATCGAATCAACTGAGATATATAAACTCCGAATGCAGGTGATGAAGGTATATTGCTGTATAAGTAAGGGAAGTTGACGATAGAACATTCGTCAATACTACATTCCTCCAACTAACCAACAAACAATTAATATACACCTTCGGTTCAAGAACAAACCTTTGAGGAACACTGAATGAATATATAATTTCGTAGTGACTTCACCGAGTCAATGGAAATGTGCAACTATTTAACACATTTTATGCTTCAGCTCGTCATCAAAAGCTACATGAAAATTCACAAAAAAATAGAAAATACATGGACATATAGAACGTGGAAAATTTGCTGACTGACAATATAAATACGTATTACTAGCCCATTACTTTACACATTGAAATGTCTACAGATTTTTCTATCTGCCCTACTATAACAAGCAGGTCACGGCAGTTGTAACCAGTAGGCATGTAATGCTTACATCTCCATGGCATCTGATACCACATTAGGTGTCTGTAGATGTCAGTGTTGCTCAGCTCCCTGATTTCTATAATTTCAAAGGATTTGTGACCTTCACTGCTGTTCGTTAACTCCATGTTTTGTGTTATATTTATTATACCCCCCGCTTGAAAAGTGGGAGGGTATATATAGTAATCGGGATTTCCTTCCGTCCGTCTGTCCGTCCGTCTGTTACGCTTTATCTCTTATCCGCAACTCCTCTAATACTACTGAGTGAAATTTAATGAAACTTTCACAGAATCTTTATTACATATTGCCATTGTGCACCTCCTATTTTATTTTTTTTTATTCGACACGTATTTTAGGTTTCCCATAGCAAAACATGGACATTGCCTTTATATGTTTACCTAT